TTATCATTCACGAATCAAACACTTGGATACAGATTTTCACTTTGTTCGTGAAAGGGTTCAAAGGAATGATCTGGTGGTTCAGTATGTTCCTACTCAAGAGCAAATTGCAGATGTGTTTACTAAAGGACTGCATAGTCCTATTTTCTTAAGTCACTGTATTAGTATGCGACTTGGAAATCCAGAGCAGGATCCAGAGTTGGGTTTGAGGGCGAATGATAACAATATTAGTTAGTTTGTATTCAATTAAGCTGTCACGTGTGTGCTCACGTGTTGTTTGTTAGTATTAGCTGTAATTAGTTAGGTTGTTAAGTCTTGGTTACAGAGATATATAAAACTGTTGACACACAATTGTAATTCCATTCTGAAAGATCAATATACAGAGCATATCATTTTCTTGAATCTTCTTCTTCCTTCTCAGCTTTCTCAACTCTTAAGCTTCCTTTTCTAAACTGTTAACAGGTGTGTGCCAATTGTACCTCAATTCAGTTGCGGATGGTCGAACCTATCTGAGTGTTCACAAAGATTATGATCACGTTGATGGCGAATGGTGTTTGGTACCCAGAGTTTACATCGACCAAATGGCTTTGAAAGATACGTTGATCGCTAAATGAAAACATCAGAGCTACTTGAAAAGCACTCTTAAGGTGCAAGGTTTGGATCTAAATAACAAGGACTTCTTGTGTCTAGAATTGCATCAACAACTAGTTATGTACAACATTCGTACTTGATTTGTACTAGAAACCTTAAAAGAAGGTTACAAGATTTGTAAGTTATTTATCATATTTTTTAAATTATTATAACTAGGCTGAGTAAGAATAATTTATTTTATTTATATTCAAATTAACTAATGCAATTCCTTACCCTTGTAGCATATCAAAATCGAAAAAACTGATTTGCCCCAAAAAGCCGTTTGGTAGGCTCATTTTTAAAAATCCAAACCCAAAAAAAATTCAGAAACACGCCTATTATTAAAAACAAAGAAAGTGAGGTTTTATAGTTTTTTTTTTCTCTCTATCTCTCTCTCCCTCTCTCCTCTTCCTTATCACCAGTTTCATATTACAATACAGCCTCACATCTTTTTCCTTTTCTTTTGTTAATTTCAATTTGGGGATTAGGGTTTATGATTTTTTTATTTTAATTTCAATTTTTTTTAGATCTTAAAAATAGTTTGGAGTTCAATACCAAACAAGTTTTTAGATCTTAAAATCACTATTTGAAAACTCATATTTTTAAAAAAGAATTATAGTTTTTCAGTTTACTTTTTTGAGTAGGATATCAAACAGGGCCTTAGTTTCCTCCAATATTTCATCTGTTTTTTTTGCAATTATGTTGGGATAACAATAACCTCTATATAGCAAAAAAGAGCAATCTTTGAAACATTATGACCAAAAACCTATGTTTACGAATTGAGCGACATGTGCACAAGCACATTAATCCTAATTCTAATAACTTGTGAATAGTCATGCCTCTCACCTCACTCACACAAATACGCCCCACACACCAACGCCCTTATCATCCTTATGACATTTTCTACACTAAACAATTGTTCTTACAGTAGTTGATCATTTAAAATGAATCACCAGTTTCTTATACCTTATCACCAGTTTCATATTACAAATACAGCCCTTTTGGTCTACACACCAAAAATAATAGGTTTTTAGCAATAAGTCCATTTTAACACGACATATTAAACTTTAAGTATACATGTTTTAGGAAATATTGAAGGACCCTCTATGGTGAACATCCAGAATCAGTTTACAAGTTACGCCCATGCACCCAACAATCAACTAATCACCCCCAAAAATCAACCTAATTAGAATTGGGATGTTGTGTTCCTAACTGAATTCATGCTATAATACATACCAATTAGGCATTTATGTAAAATTAACCCTTAATTACAACACTCTTATGAAAAACATGCTAACACATGCCATTTCAAGTTTTATCTATTAATTTTACGGTGTTTACGATTTCGACTTGATTACAAACCAAACAAAATTATGAAGGCCAAAATTTTCAGAAAGTGAAATTAGAAGAATCATGGTGAATAATAAGTCAAACTATAGTCCAAACCAAAGTATAGTGGATCCTACAATGTACGTCAAATTTCTCCAAAATAAGTTCATAGTTTTTATCAGGAGGAAGCCAAGAGGTCCAGGACAGATTGAAGGGGTCTTCAAAGAATTGACAAGTTCTAACTTTGAGTTCATCGCTATATATGCTGAGCTGACTATGCAGCTAAGCTGCTTTGGTTTACTCGCTTGAAAAAAAATGAGAGAAACCAAGAAGTTAAAAAAGGAGGGCAACCAAAAAAATATTAGACTCAAAACTAAAAATTGACAGATACATGTGCAAGGCAAATTGCTCTTCACATTAGGAGGGGGGAGGGGGGAATATTTTTTTGTGTTATTGGCTAGTCGGCTAGTTGTATTTCTCTTTACTTTGTTGAAGATGTTCTACGTTTAGGGTTTAGGGCCCAAAAAAATAAACTATAGACAAAAATAAATACCTAATTAAGTTGGAACCTTGACAAAATAAAATACAATATATATTAAGTGGTTCGCTTCAAATAATATTGGGGCTTTTTGTGATAAAACTCAACACCTATTGGACTTTGTAGGTAGATGATTAAGTTGGGAACAATATCAATATTTGCTAGTTTGCTGATCATTCTCTCTGAAATCTTAACAAAAAAACACCTCAAAAACTAGTTGCATTTTTTTTCCTTGTGACTATTTGAAATGAAGCTTGATGATGAAATACGCCATATCTCATCTTAAGAACACAATGCTATCCTCTAGTTACTGAAGCTTGATGATGAAATAGGCCATATCTCATCTTAAGGGCACAATGCTATCCTCATAACTAGCCAGCAACTTCAATCGATCATCGTTCAGAGATGTATATTTGGGGGGCAAAACAATCTCATCACTTCCCCTAAAACTTGCACTCTCCATATTGTATAGAAGCACCCTCGGATGTGAATGGTACAAAAAGGAACTGGGTACCCTGCTTCCCCCCAATGAGGGGAAAAGAGATGGTCTCCTTCACCCAAACCTGATTTTGGTAGTCCCTCAAAACCCAAAGCCTTAAAATGTTCAGTCTCCACTCCTTGTCACCTGTTAGAGCCACACATCCATCCACTTCAACTATACTCCTCCCAATGGGAAAATCAATACGATGTGTAAAACAATTATAATCTTTAGGAAGTGGATTTGCTCTGAATTTCTCATCTCCAATGTCAAAAGCCAGTATGACATTGTTAATCCCATGAATCCAATGTACAGCCCCGTTGACGCAAACACTTCGCTTATGAAATGGGGATGTAAAAGGATTAAAACGGAGACTATTACAGTCTACCTCTATGTGCCTCCATGAACTTGTCCCCAATTTAAATATTTTGAACATAAAATGCTCACCCCTCAAGGCATGGATGAGTTCTTGCACTTGGAGAACCTTATACTCATTTGTAAGAGGACTGAACCCGAAATGATATGTAACATAGACTTTGCGTGATGCAGGAGCGTGGGAGAGAGCGATAGACTCTCGGGTGGAGGGGTTAAAAATGCTAACGGGGTGGTCAGGATCGGTTTGATTGGGCACTGTAGTATTATAAAGGTAAAGACAGACCAAGCCGTTGATACTTTGTGCATATTGTAGAGACATTCATTCGTGGTTTGCGGTGTTGGAGGGCTTAGAAGATGGGTGGCAGGGATTAGACTTTCTTCTTGGTTGATTTGCAAGGAGAAGAGTGTTGCTGCGTTGTGGGTTTGTCCCAGGCAGTGAGGAGGAGGTGAACATTCTTGTTGCATCCCAAGTTTTGATGGGCGCTGACAAAGGAAGGGTCGCGGGTGAGAGAAGACCAAGACTTGCGGACACATTTGAAGCGCATGAGAGACTTGGAGGGTAGCCTTGGGAGAATCTCAAAGCATGTAATTTGGCTGGGGAGCTCTGGACCTCCAACTGGCTCCATGTATTGATCTCTATGTCACTTTGTTAGGATATTATCCTTCCTTACAAGTATAAGTCTAAAAGTTGATAGTTTGTAGGGGCAGATGGTGGATGGGATCCAAAGTAGAGTTTTTATCAGAAGGAAGCCAAGAGCTTCAAGACGGATTGAAGTGAAAGGTTCTTTAAGAAACATGACAAGTTCCAAGTTGGTGTTGAATTCCATGTGCATCTATATTAATTGAAGAATATTAATATTACAAATTTAATGAATTCCATAATTATATATTTCATATCAGTACTTGGGACAAAAACAAAAAATATTGTTTACATACGACAATGTTTCAAGTAAACAATTCAACATAATCTGTTCCATACAACATTGTCGTATAGACATGGTCCATACAACATTGTTGTTTATGAAACACAAGTCATTGTATTGCAAACAGAAAATTTAGTTTCCTCCAATATTTTATTTTCTGCAATTATTTTGGGATGGCATTAAGTTCGTTGAGAACAACTCTGATGAACGGAGGATGTGCAAAGATGCTTCCTCTCAAGTTCCAGCGTCTTCTTGGAATTAGAGCAGAGATGTGTGCACAATAACATGTGAATAATCATGCCATTCACACTCACACAAATCTACACCAATACCATTATCATCCTCATGACATTTTCTACTTGGTTTTTTTTTTTTTCGTTAAAAGAAAAAAAAACTGTTTTAGATGCGGGAATTGTTGTGGTATAGCTGATCGTTCCCGTTTCTTGTATCTTGTAACATAACGTACCGTTGCTTCACACAAATTTGACACCCAATATCTTCTTACTATATTTTTAAATTGAAAATTAATGGGGAGTCAAACTTATTTTACTCTCATGGCAGCAGAAATATCAAATTTCAGGGCCTTGTTGTCTTGCAACAATATGTAAGCACAAGGCACCATGAAAAAACCCAATATGTTTTTCAAGGTAAGAGAAGCCACCAAAATAACTTCTATTTGCAAGTTCACCATTGAATTAAAGCTTGATGATGAAATAGGTCATATCTCTCATCATAAGGGCACAATGTTATCCTCGTAACTAGCAAGTAAATTCAATGCATTATCCTTCAGAAATGTCGATCCGGGGGGCAAAACAATTTCATCAATTGCCCTAAAACTTGCAGTCTTCATGTTGTATAAATGCTCCCTCATATAGGCAGGGTGATGCCTGCTTAACCCTGAAGACTGGAAGAGGAGCTCACCTGTGTGAATGGTACAACAAGGAAGAGGGTACCCTACCTCCCTCCAAACAAAGGGCAGAGTGATGGTCTCCTTAAGCCACACCTGGTTTTGGTAGTCCCTCAAAATCCACAGCCCCATCAGGTCCTGTCCCATCAACTGCTCGTCAGCTACAAGAGCCAAACGTCCATCCACTCCAATTATATAACTAACCAAATGCAGAAAACAATTATAATCTTTAGGGTACGGGATTGCTCTGAACTTCTCTTCAACAATGTCAAAAACCAATATAACATTTTGTGTCGCATGCAACCAATGTATGACCCCATTAACGCACAGGCTTCGAGAATCAAACGGGCACTTAAGAGGATCAGAAGGGAGATCATTAAGGTCTACCTCGATGTTCCTCCATGAACTTGTCCCCAATTTGAATATCTTGAACATAAAATGGTTACCCCTCAAGGTAGGGACAAACTTTTGCACTTGGAGAACCTTATACTCATTTGTAAGATGACTGAACCCGAAATGGTGTGTAACATGGGCTGTGTGGGAAGCTGGTGAAGCATGGGGAAGAGCGATAGACTCTCGGGTGCAGGGGTTAAATACTCGAACAGGGTGGTCAGGATCAGTTTGATTGGGAACAAAGGTGTTATGAAGGTAAAGACAGACCAAGCTGTTGATACTCTGCGCAAGGTAGAGACGTTCGTTCTTGGTGCGCGGCGTTGGAAGGCTTAGAAGATGGACGGAGGGTGTTTGGCTTCCTTGTTGGTTGATTTGTGAGCTGAAGAAGTGTTGCTGCCTTGTGGATTTGTCCAAGGCAGAGAGGAGGAGGTGAGTGTGCTTGTTGCAGCCCAAGTTTTGATGGGCATTGACAAAGGAAGGGTTGTGGGTGAGAGAGGACCAAGACTTGCACACGCATTTGAAGCGCATCAGGGACTTGGATGGTAGCCTTGGGAGAATCTCAAAGCATGTAATTTGGCTGGGGAGCTCTTGATCCGCTGCCGCTTCCATGTATTGATCTTATAATATTATTATCTTTCCTTACAAGTTATAAGTCTAAAAGTTATAGTTTTGTAGGGGCAGATGGTGGATGGGAAATCTAAAGTTCATAGTTTTTTTATCAGAAGGAAGTCAAGAGCAAGACAGATTGAAACTAAATCTGCTTTGGTTTAGTCGCTTGTTGAATTTGTTTAAAACTTTGAAGAGTAAAACAAGAAAACAAACATTTACTCAGTGATTTTATATTCCTCGTCAGTGTCAATACATAGTTACTGTGCTTTTTTGCATTGGCCCTTATTCTATAACAAGAGAAGATGTACTTCAAATTGGGTTGGCAACTTAGCAAGTAGAAAGGATGAACGACGAAGAAGTCTTTTTCTATTATTCATCTATTTAACTTTTGTATTACTATAATGGTTACTCCTTTTTTTTTGTTTCCACAATCACTGCCCTACACCCTGCAAACCAACTAAGAAGTGAGAAACGAAAATCGAACTCTAAACCACTAGCAAATAATGCTCTGACAGTATTTTCAGGAATTTTAGAGCGTATGATTTTGAAATTTTTAATTTTTAATTTCAAAATACCAAAAACCTTTACAAAGAAATGTATAACATAATGATGATGACATTTTAAACTCTAAATGTATGAAATTATTCCATAATTAATGTAATTACTCTCTAGTTTGCAGTCTTCATTAAAGTAGTGAATGAGAGAGAAATGAAGAAGTAGAGCAAAAGGAGAGTAACATGACAAATAGTGTGAAGGTAAAACATCACCAAGTTGAAATTTCAAATTTTATAGAAGATAACCAACCATTGAATTGAAGCTTAGAATTAGATGATGCAATTAGGCCATCTCTCATCTTAAGGGGACAATGCTATCACCACCACAACCAACAAGCAACTTCAACAGAAGATGATCCGAGACTCTCAACTGTGGCGAAACAATTTCACTTCTGAAACTTTTACTCTCCATGTTGTAAAAGAACACTTTCACTTGTGCAGGGTCCTGCCTAAGTAATCTTGAAGATTGCAGAAGCAGCTCACCAGTGTGAATCGTATACAAAGGGACAGGGTACCCTAAGTCCCCCCAATAAATGGGAAATGTGATGGTCTCCTTAACCCAAACCTGGTTTTCGTAGTCCTTCAAAATCCATAACTCCATCATGTTCTGTTGCATCAGGTGCCTGTCACCCATTAGAGCCAAACACCCATCCAGTTCAACTATGTACCCAAGGGTATTCTTGATACCATGGATGCCATAGTTATAATCTTCAGGAAGTGGGATGGCTCTGAATCTCTCGTCTTCAAGGTCGAAAACTGCTATAATGTTCTGGGTTGACGTGTGCATCCAATGTATGGCTCCATGAGCGCACACACTTCTCCTGTCAAACTGGCACTTGAGCAGATCGAAAGGGAGATCATTAAGGTCTACCTCTATTCTCCTCCATGAACTTGTACCTAATTTGAAAATCCTGAACATGAAGCTCATATCCTCTATAGAATTTAGAGGCGGAAACCTTTTCACTTGAAGAACCTTATACTCGTTCGTAAGAGGACTGAACCCGAAGTGGTGTGTAAGGTGGATGGCGCTGTATGCAGGTGAATCATGAGGAAGAATTATAGACTCTCGAGTGCACGGGTTGAGTATTCGAACGGGATGGTTATGGTCGGTTCGATTGGGAAACACTAGGTTAGAAAGGTAAAGACAGACTAAGCCATTGACACTCAGTGCATTGTAGAGACGTTCACCATTCTTGGTTGGTGGTGTTGGAAGGTCTAGAAGGCGGATAACGAGCGTTGGACTTCCTTGTTTGATTTGTATGGAGAAGAAGGTCTGCTGCAGCATGGCTTCGTCCCAGGTGGTGAGGAGGAGCTGAGTGTGGTTGTTCCGGTGGAAGTTTCGATGGGCATTGACAAATGAAGGGTTGCGGTTGAGAGAGGACCAAGACTTGCAAACGCATTTGAAGCGCATGAGGGACTTGACCGGCAGCCTGGCAAGTATCTGAAAGCATATAACTTCGCTTGGGAGCTCTGAACCGGACTCCATGGATCTCTGCGACTTCCTTGGGATATTATTCGTATAAATCACAACTAGTTTTGTAGAGGCAGATGGCGAATAGAAAATGTAAGGGTCATTGTGTAATCTGAAGGCGGCCAAAATGTCAAGGGTCTTTAATAATGGACAAAAGTTCCAAGTTTGAATTCATCGTCATATGTTGACTAAGCCGCCTTTGGTTTCTTGGTTGACTTTAGAAAGACAACATGAACTTTCCAATTGTTTTCTAAGAAAAGAAAAAATGGCCAACATGTCACCTAACCAATTAAAAATTTAAGGGCTGCTTCTAGATTTTGAAATTTTCTTAATATAATTGGGGTACTGGCCTATACTTCAAGAACAAAACATACATAAAGAAACAAGCAATGAAGTAGTGTGTGTAACAAGATTCTCAATAAATTACAAACTTCTGTAAAATTTCTGAATAGATTATTTAAGGAACTATAAGTGGCTATGTGCTTCCAGTGGGGTACTCAGTAAATGTACAAAAGTTATGTACCTCTGGTATCTTAATAACTAACAGTGTCAATGAGGACTTGTGCTACTGATTTGATTGGGGTGAATGACAATTCCATGAACCGGTCGTGACCGGCCTATCGAGTTTCTGCGCGAGGTTGCAGCTGAAGAAGGCATTGGTTCAACATTAGGAGGTATTGGAGTTTCAGGTGAGTGGCCAGATATGCAGAGGGCACCGGAATCATCTTGCTCCCAGTAAACTTCTACCATAATCCCTCTTGGATTCTCTGCAGATTCTGTACCTGGAATCCCCACAAACCTAGCTCCGACTGGTATCTGCATAATCATTGAGATACAATAAGAGAAAAACAAGAAAACATGAAATCACACGTGATTTTATTGCCATTGCTTATGTATCTCACTACAGAATGATATAAAGAGAAAGGAATTGAGCTTACCTCGACTGAGGCTCCGGATGTTAAAGTGAGAGTGACCAACCTCCCCTCAGCTGTGGCAGTTTCTAGCTCTGCCTGCTTTGCAATATTCAAGAAAACTTCTTCTAGAGTTGTAAGACCAAGTTGGATGTCTGATATACCGAATTCACTTTGTCCGTCTTGTAGCTCCGCAAAAAAATTCTGCAGAAGATTTACAAAATATATGAAAACACGTATACCATCTTGGCAATTACATGTGTCCTCCAAGCTAACGAAACCAAAAACATAAGCTGCATTACACGATTTTATTATCAAATAATCAAATATATTGGTTTCAACATAACATCTTCCTTCTCCCGCAAATAGAGAGTAACATGAGAGTTTTCAAATTCATTTTATTAGCCACAACCTACGAGAATTAGACATTGTGCCATCCTTCTTCCATCAAGTTTCAGTATAAAAACAACTGTAATTACCTTGAAAAGAAAAAGTTGCTATAACAGATATACTAGAAAGTGAAATGATTACCTTCAAAAGCCCCTCTCTGTCGTGAGGAATAACAAAAGTCAGAAAGGATTTGTTCTCTTCTTTTGGTAAAACATCCAAATGCTGTCAAAACATTTCCCATGTTAGAAATTAACCTTTGTATGCATTAAAAAAAAATGTTTAAATCACTTTCGAAATTATCATACATGTTTAAAGAACTGCTTCACTGCCTCATGGTGAGGTGTAGCAACTGCATCACTGTTTGGAGGACTTTGTCCATTGGTGCTTCCAGTGAAGCTAACATTAGCAATAAAACCAGTCCCAAACCGTGACTTCAGCCTGATTGAAGTTCCAATGCAACGGAGCCTACCCTTTGCCATTATTCCAATCCTGTCACTTAAAATGTCAGCTTCTTCCATTGAGTGAGTGGTTAGGACAATTGCCCGCCCTTTTTTGGCATCCTCTATGATGTCCCATACATGTCTTCTAGTTATTGGATCCATACCAGTTGTCTGCAGATCATAAACTAAAACACATAAACAGAGCGTCTAGATTTACTCTCTTGTTGGCATAGGCTGATTATTGGTCATTTAGTTCAATGGCTGATTTGTAGCTTAAATTAAGTTCTGATTATTAGGCATGTAGCTGAATTTGAGGCTTATTGTCTGATTAGCTTAATTCAAGGCTAATCTTCATAGAGATTTATGTCTTGGTGTCCCATATAAGCACCCATGTTATTCTTCATAAGTAATGCAACATAATGATCTTCCTCATATTTTAATAAATTTTATTTTAATACGAATACAGGGAAAAGTTTATAATTTCCATACCGGTTCATCCAAGATGACTAACTTTGGATCACCAATAAGGGCTATTGCAAAACTCAGGCGACGTTTCATTCCTCCACTGTAACTCCCAGCTCTCATTTTGGCTGCCTCAGTGAGCCTCACCTCTGCCAAGGACTTCTTAGCAACCTACATTTGAGAAGGAGCATTCATCTTATACATGAACAAACAGTTTTTCTGCTTGCTTGAGCTCATAAAGCATGGGGACAAAAATGAAAGATTATAATCCCAGAGTTCAAACATTTGCAAAGTAGAAAGCATGCAGGAAATTTTCTGCCCTATCATCAGTGGTATACAACCAGTGATAGGGACGAATTACTCCTTGAATAATTAGCATAGCACATACTGATTTGATTGAAGCTGGGGATAGGCCTTTAATACTAGCGAACAGGTGGAGGTGCTCTTGCCCAGACAATGCATCCCACAGAATGTCAAACTGTGAACATAGGCAACATATGGACAAGTTAACTCTAAATTTATCAATGAGTTGAAGCATCATGATGACAACTACGTAACTTGCATACACTTGAAGTACAGACATTCATATACATGCTCATATGTGTGTAGGGAGGGAGAGCAGATCACCTGCGGACAAACTCCAATCATTTTTCTAATTTTTGCCATGCCAACAGAGCTTCGGGCAGAATATCCATAAATCAATGCTGTTATCAAGACAGTTCACAATTTATCATATCCATACTGATTTCATCAGAGAATTTTTTATTCATGA